ATCAGAGAAAGCCTTTTATTTATATTTTAAAAACCCCAAGGTGTTTTCATAATGGAGGTGGCGTCCAGCGAGCGAGTCCCTGTGCTTAGTGTGCAGAGGGGAAGCCGCAGCTAGAAGAGACCAGTGCTGACTGATAAAGTGATTTTTAGCATCCCCAACAGCTCTCTGGAAACCAGATATGGATACCTACATCCAGCCAAGCTGGACCAATGTAAGTTTCTATAAAAGATCATTCCTGGAGTTCAGATTTAAAAGAGAAGTATTAAGAGAGTAAAATATACTCTTCCCAATACTTAGAGCCGGTGTGGAACACTGCAGATGTCACACACCAGGCTCTATATACTGAGAGCTGAGCAATCATGTAATCGCTAATGGCTCAGCTCACGGCTTCTCCCTGCAAAACGCAAAGACAATCAGTCACCTCCTCCCCTCCAAATCCTTCAGTGCTCATTTGGGGGAAGAGACAGGGGAGGGGGCGGGCACAGCAGGCACTGCCTCTAGAGAGGCAGAGCCAGCTGTCAATCAGGCAGTGGGGTGGATCCTGATAATAGTGTCAGGATTCCTCCCGGCTGCAGCGTGGCTCTGAGCTGTCAGTTGCCTGCTCACTGCTGAGTTTGGGTCACAGGAGTATATTATTAAATGCACTTCTGTGACCCCCCAAAATGGTTCTCTATTAATTTGTAGCTAATAGATCTGTGGAAAAGCAGTTTCTCTGCTATGAAAAGCACACATTGATTGATTAAGCACAGCCATATCAAAGTGTAAGATTTTCTTGCCCAAAATAGAGGAATCTGAGACATGACTGATGTGGGGTTTTTGTGACACACAAATCATGACATTGCCTAATGTGTCACTAGAGATCCATTGATATTTTCTGTCTTCCTGGGAGAAAGAAGTCGTTGTTATGGGAATGTTTTTGCCTTTAGACTTATGGAACAATTCTAGGCTGGACAGACAGGCTGCAGCTTAAAGAAGAAGTAGAAGACATTGTCATTGCAAAGTTCTCTTTCTAAAAATGCCAGTTGCTTGGGGGTAATGTTGCTTTTCAATGAGCAGGCAGGTGATAATGGTAATGGATGAACAAAATGACAAATTAGTTGGCAAATAAAATTAGCCGTTTGTCTGAAGTTCCTCTTTAATTCTGTTTTTCTAAACAATGATTATAAAGCCATGAAGTAGCACAAGCAGTGCACAGGATTCCCACAGACCGCAAGGTGAGCATTAATGATATAAGATTCTCAAAGCCACCCACTTAGCAGAATGAGGATCCAAATGAACTAATATATGTCACCAGAGTTCACCCTATGACTGTGTACAGACTAACTGTAGAGTAACTGGTCCCCTTTAAAAGCAAAGTCCTCTTTTGGAGACCAAATTTGCCATGGATGCATCTGGGCTGAGTTTTCCATTCGGAGTTTGTAAATCCAATTTATGAATGTTTATAACAACACGAAATGTTCACCTCATGCAAATAGTAAACATGAAGAGTCTTGTCTTGCATGCCATCAGGCTAAGCAGATGCCAAAATACATAGGTGTGGAAGATGGTTGCAACACTACAAAACACCGACACTGACCTAGATATATTTGCTCAGCAAAAGAAAAAAAAAATGTGGCTACTTGCCACCTTGTGCATTAAAGAGGTGTTCCATATTAAAGGGTAATGTATAGTTTTTTTCTAGTGAGGACATTTACATAGTTTAGGACAGAGGCGTTGCCAGCCAAGGTGCCACCCGGAGCAGCCCGCTATCGCACACGAGCATGACATCATCACGAGTGTGCATGACATCATCATGTGCAGTTAATTGCCGGTGGCGATCTCTATGATAGACACAGGCAGCGAGAGGAGGAGACATTTATCCAGCGGGATAAGGTAAACCACCTGGTCCCCTCCTCTCTTGTACTGCTGTTGGGTGCCCGACTTTTCAGAGGGGGCGACACCAAAATTACAGAGTCATTTTGGTGTCACCCCCTCTGATGGTGTCACCCAGTGCTGGCCACACACCCCTGCACCCCCCTTGTGACACTGGTTTAGGAATACCTAAAAGAGAAGCACGGAAAGCGTAAAAACATACTCTTCCCAATACTTGGAGTTGGTAAACAGGTGTCCTACGCCAGCTCTAAGTTGGGGGGAGGGGCTGACCGATCACATGACCTCTGACTGGTCAGTACTCTCATCATCCAGTGTTGATGGTCAGAAACAGCCCTCACCCCCCTCTGCTCCTCCAGCACTCATTGGAACTACAGACAGAAGAAGGCATGGCTGGCTCTATGTCAAGATTGTTAGGATCCTTCTCAAATGCGGCACAGCTGGCAAGACACCAGTATCCAGTTTACCGCATGTAAATGAGAAGAAAAGGAAAAGGTCAAGAAGAGGGACTGAGGGGGAATAGTAGGGGCGTGTATTCGTTGTACACAGCCCAGTAGCATACAAATAGGCATTTAGCAATCCAATCTGTCAAAAGCCAAATGCAATTATAAAAACAATATTAATTATAATCCAAGGCATCTTGCCAAAACAATTGCTGGATACATTTTCCTAAAACTGCCAAGCTCCAGGCTGATCCTATTTACTAAGAAGAGTGGAAAAGACAACAACTACCAATACAAAAATCAAGAGGATTAATAATAGGAAAATTGTTACATCATGAGTAGGACAGCACCAATCAGATCATCACCGGCTGAGGTGAGGCTAAAATACACTGCTTACGGCAACAATACAAGTTTCCAAAACAACACCTCATCAATGGCAAGTAGTAAGTCACATAAGGACACCAATAGTAACGCAAACAGGTCAGCACATGATAATAAGGATCCTACAGCCAGAGGCGGCTCTAGAGTTTGCGAGGCCTTAGGCGAAACCTAAACATGAGGCCCCACTCAGGCCTGTGGGGTCTCACCGGGCTGTCGGGTTTAACCAGGATGGTGAGACCCCACAGAGCCCTGGTGAGATCCCAAAGACCCCTGGTGAAATCCCAAAGAGCCCTGGTTAAACCAGGGTTCTATAGGGTCTCACCAGGGCTTTGTAGGGTCCCAACAGGGCTCTGTAGGGTTTAACCAGGGCTGGTGAGACCCCACAGAGCCCTCAAAGTGCCCTGGTGAGACCCCACAGAGGCCTGGTTAAACCAGGCCTCTGTAGGGTCTCACCAGCCCCAGCGCTCTGTAGGATCTCATCAGGGCTGTGTGAGGTCTCACCAGCCTGGTTGGATCCCTCAGAGCCCTGGTGAGATCTCCACAGAGCTCTGGTACCTGGGCTCTGTGGGGTCGCACCAGGGCTCTCTGGGAACTCACCAGGGCTCTGAGGGGGTCTCACTAGGGTAGCAAGGCTCTGTGGGGGTATCACCAGGGCTCTGTAGGTCTCACCAGGGCTTTGTGGGGGTCTCACCAGCCTGGTTAAACCCCACAGAGCCCTGGTGAGACCTCAAAGAGCCCACAAATGACCCCATAAAGCCCTGGCCCAGGGCTCTATGAGGGTCTCTCCCCAGGGTAGCAGGGCTGTCTGGGGTCCCAACGGAGCTCCAGAAGACAGTGGATGGACCGCACCGATGATCAAGCAAACGGATGAGCTCTCAGCCCTGTCGCTATCGCTCCTGTCAGTTTGACAGCGACAGGGCTGAGAGCTCACAACGTTACCTGGCTGCGAGCAAGGTGATGTGCCGTTCTGACAGGGCAAACTAGGCGGCCGCGAGGCCCTTGGGAGCGCGAGGCCTAAGGCGACCGCCTAATTTGCCTAATTAAAGAGCCGCCTCTGCCTACAGCTGGCCATCCACCAGTAAACTTTTGCAAACATTTTTTATAATTATTTTCAGAACATCGGTTTTCCATTTGTGGATGGGGTCATTTCAACGACTGAATGACAAAAGTTGTGTTTAAAATTCAACTGAAGCCAAAACCTTTTTTTAGTTTAGGATGGAGCAATTAGAATCTGTTTTCACTCCCTCTATTAGTCTTGGTGACCATTATCATTACAGTGAAAACAAATATCAAATCTTGGGCTGTCACTCACCAAAACAGGAATAGATGGGAAATCTTCCAATGGGGACACTAGTTCTGGTGACCCTGCAGGAATTTCTTTCTCTTTAGATTTCTTCTCACTTCCTGTGGTGGCTATCAGACAGGAAGTGAAGGGAAATCTCCCCAATGGGACACCGATGGGAACGAAAAATGGTTATAAACCGCCCTTACTCTATCCAAAGCTAACAAATAGTGTTGACTTCAGTTCTACTTTAAGTCCCACCCCACAAGCTTTTCTTCTGGTCCTTTAATGTGACAGGCGGTCCAACAGTTTTAATTTTTTTTCTTGTTGAAGCTATAGGCTTGAAACAAGCTGAACACCCAAAAGGTGCAGTTTTGGTTTGGATTAAAAAAAACTACCTAGCTGAGCAGAGGAAACAACTCCTTTTGAAGCCCCAGCTCTGGTTGAAGAATGGAGTGGTGAGGGCGCTCAAGAAACACGAGCATCACCGGGTGGGAGGTGGTTCTTTTAAGAGAACCTGTCATTTTACCCTGAATGGACAAAGTGCATCTTGCCTGGTCCTTCTTAGCCTCCTACTGGTAAGAGGGATTGAAAGTAGAAAGAAGTAGCATCCCAAGGGAAGATGAAGGGTAGCAATGGAAAGAGCTACATCATTCTTTACAGAACAATGCACTGCCCTTCTGTCCATACCGCAGACACTCCATCTTCAGTCTTTCAACCTATGAGCTGCACAGTGTCCTTGGCTGCTAGGACTTGCTGCAGCTTCTAATGCACACTGATGCTTACAGTATGCAGTGAAATCAGTAAGAAATGTCATGCATCTCTGCATGAGTGATGGCAAGGCTGGAGTTCAGCTTAAACTTTTAGTTGAATGCACATTTTGTTCCTAGTATTTTCCCCTATAAATGTATATATAAATGGAGATAATAAAGTTATTTAACAGTTTTACTGCAGAAATCTACAGCAGAGCATGTTAGATTTGCAGACAATACTACTAGCATGAACCACACTGTAGTACTACTTACAATTCTGGGCTTAAATGGAGGTTTGATTTTTCGCTGCTCTAGGAGCGCCCAGTCGATTTCTTTGAAAAACGGGTGCTGTTTAATGGCCTCCTCCAGGCCCTGGGACGGCACACATCCTAGCCGCTTGTTGGGATTCTTTGTCATGAACTGTAAAAAGAAAAAACATTACACAGCATTAGTGAACTTGAAGACGACATACCATAGCGCAAGAGTTCTCATTATACAGATTTTTTAATATATGACTCACAAAAGTGTGCCTATTCCAGAATGCGTAGGCTAGTGCAGAAGAGCCGATTGTTACAGCGGCGTGGGAGGGATGAAGGCGCTTTGAGTGTGGTGCGAGATGAATGAGATGATGGGATACATGACCAAGTAAGGATATTTTTTGAAGTGTCCCTGTATTTGTAGACAAGCCCTATCCCCAGGAGGTAAGCCAGGCTCCACTTATTCCCATGTTCAATGACAGAACCTCATTGAGCAATAAGGGGACTTTCATTGGGCAGGGTAGGACAAATAGGTAGAACTAATGTTTAGGAGTGGCTCCAAAAGAAGGGAGGTCTGTAAACCCCTATTAACAAAGGGAAAACAGGGGAATAGTGTTTTTGTGGTCTTCTAAGTTAGACATTTTTTATGAAAATTTTATTTTTTTTGTATTAAGGGAGGACAGGTGAGAACTCCTAATTGGTTTGCATTTCTGATCCCCCTTCCTGCTCTGGTGACCACTATCTCTGCCACAGGAAGTGAAAGTAGGAATTTAAACTATGAGAACCTAGGAGGAATTTTATGGTCATTGTATTCCTTTCTTGTTCTATTAGGAGAGTGTTCTTATTGCTTCATGAGATCTCCTGTCCATTTGACCATCGTCAATGAGAATGTTAGAGGAAATCTCCCACTGGGGACACAGACGGCAATAAAAATCTGACAGATTCTCCACTAAAACAAAAGTTTGGACTGGAGTTGTACTATAATAGAAAAATCAAAAAAGCACAACAGAAACAAAAACAACCAAACACCAATTTCTCTACATGCACTGCTTCTCTTTGGTGATGCTGTACACTGTACTATTACAATAAGTCTGATTCTAGTGGAAATGTATTACACATAGAGAGGTCCCACATATATGCCAATCAACCATAATAACCAGTAGAATGTGAAGAGGCTAGAAAGACCCCGCTAGTAAAGAATCATAAAAAAGGGGTAAAGTATGGTAATAAATACAGCTGAGAATATGAAAAAGAATGTTGGACAACTAGGTCACAGGTAAAAGAAAAAATATAAAAAGGTAAACTTGGCTTTAAAGCGGTTTCTGCCTGAAGTATGTAAGAATTAAAACCAAAGTCTGCTAGTACAATGTGAGGAAATCAAGTTTTCCAAGTCTAATCCCCAGCTAGCATTCTCCAGTGAACTGCACAGACGCCTCCCCACTTCCTCTGCCTTTCCTGTAGAACAGAACAACATCGCTGGCCTATGTGACTAAAATCACAGCGTCACCAGCATCACAGCTATTAATAATGATCAGACAAAGAATTTGTAGGCATCTCAGGCTTTTCATTTATTTCAATTAATGTCTGCGTTCAATTGTTTATGTCTGCTCCTATTCAGTCTTTAAATTACGCACATATCAGAACTCAGTGGCTTTAGAAAGTCAAAGACTTTAATTCTGTCTGGGCTCATAATAACATTACTGGCTGCTGTAGACCAATGGATCTACAGATAGTGCTGGATCTCCAGGTTTACGACCCTTTCCAGAAACAGTGATAATAGTTCTGTCATTAGCCCACACAAAATGTTCTGCAAGATTGGCATGCTACCTGTGCAAGCTGTGCTACTGCACAGGGGACACAAAAGGAGAAGGGGGACCCATTAGGAACAGAATGCAGAGGCAACAATGACTAGACACACGGCTCCCAACTGTCCCACTTCTGGACAGTTCTTCTGGATATCACAGTCTACATTTTGTAAGCTATTTCAATGCTGATTAAATCACGTACAATTGATGCAGCCTATTGATGTTCAAAAGTTTAAGCTTCCTGCAGAATCAGCTGGCCGTCCAAATACTGGCCCTAATATCCTCTTTTAGCTTGTCTCCTTCTATTGTAAGGTCTTATGGAACTACCCTTGTGTGTGCTAATAAACTGTGTATGTCCCCATAAATACACAGACACAGCAAGGCAAGCCATTTCTCTTCACCCTGTTCCCCTCTCCTTCTTCCCCCCTACTCTCTTCTCCTTCCTCCATGTTGTGCTTTTTCTTGTGATCTTGTACTGGACAGGAAGTTCAGGGAAGCCGAGCTGAGAGAGTTGGAGCTTGCTGTTTGCAAATTACGATGCCTGTAAGTGCTTGGACAAAAATTTAAGGAAATAATTTCTGGGTACTGTACATATTTTTGCTCTGGATTTATTACTGAAAACAAGTTTAATCAGTTATCTCTTGCTCATCCTAGTTTTTTTGTATTATTATTATACAGGATTTATATAGCGCCAACAGGTTGCCTACAGATCTCATAAGAGCAGACGTATCAAAAACTTTACAAGTCTGTATGAATATCTTGCAATGTCACAATATACAGCAACAGTATTATTCTTCTACAAAAACCTTTTAGTAACAAAAAGCAGTCTTTGAGCTCTAGTCTAATGACTTTTCCTGGGCTGAGAAATGCATTCCCTGTATTAAAAATAGCTTGCACAGAGATTCTCCAACTACAAAATCTTTATGACAGTGCCTTAACCTCATTCATGAAATGTCAATGGACAATAGTTATTCACCAAGCAGGAGTGTTTAAACCTATACAAGTCACAAAATTGTCATCTAGTCTCGTGGCAGGAGCGGTCCTGCACTCCAAAACACAAAGCAAACGTTTTTGGTAATATTTGAAAAACTGGATGTCAATGTTTGCTCTGGTGGTATATCGTGTGTTTACCAACAGTAAAGTTACTTTAAGCTGAACTCCAGGCAGATATAAAAGACCTGGTATCAGCCTCTTGCAGTCCCTGTATAGCAGGACTGGAAAGTGAGAGAAGTACAAGTATCTAATCAGTTCATGTGCTGACAAGGAGCACAGTGACAGGAGTCATAGGAAAACAGCACAGTAATGAGCTCATATCTTTTTCACTGTCCCAGTCACAGGCTACAGCAGGTCCAGCTTGACCTGGGATCAGAATCAGAGGAAGTGGGTTAAATGATATTGGTCATCTAGTGGCAGGAAAAAAGTACTGCGGGGGAAATCTTTGGATTGAGCTGCATTTTGCAGCAAAAGCCACCTTTGTTATTTTATCTACTGTAGGCCTCTCCCAACCCTACTTTTTTTTTAAAAAGTTCCCAGAGCATTTCCCTCCACATCATTCTGCACTGCTGGACCTCATCCAACCTATTTCCTAAGAATTCAGGGCGCCATGGACACACCCCCTGAGGATGAAACCTGGGCTCACATTGGAATGCCGCATAGAATGGTGTTTACATGTTAGTACTTGAGCACCAATATGTTCAGCATTCAGGACCTTTGCAGTGGAGAAAGCAACCTACTTGCAAGAGTAAAGATATCTGTCCTTGAAGTTCAGCTTTAAAATTTAGGTGTGGCGAGAAGTGGGAGGGAGGGTTTGGGGTCAGGGAGGGGCAAGTAGTGTTTTAAAGTATTTGCATAAAGTGGAGAAGGATTACAGCCTCTGTCAGTTTTTCATCTGCCTGTATTCCTGCGGGTGGGATTCAGCCTCCTCTCTGTTGGAAATAGAAAGTTATGGGAAATTACATTTTTAGAGCTGTCATCAGAACAAGAGGTGAAAGTAAATCTTTCAGTGGGGACACCTGTTCCTGAGACATCTAAGCGAGGAATTCCCCCCACTTTGTAGAGATTTCCTCTCACTTCCTGTGACATAAGGGACTAAGACAAAGGCAACAAAAATAAACAGACATATTATACCGACTTTCTGTAAAATCAGTTTATTGGAGTTCATTAAGGAAACACAGAATTCAGTTATTCTAAGTCAATTGGGTTATACTGCCATCTTCAGGAGGAATTGGACTCCTCTCAGGCAAACAGAAAAGCTGTTGACCAACCAGGTATAACCCATCCCACTTCCAGCATGTTCTAGTTTTATTGGAGAGCAGTTATAGGAGTAGATCACAAGCACAGAGGGCTGGGTCCATTGTCTCTAAATGAATGCCAAGAAAACAGATTTTACAGTAAGTACAAAAATCCTGTTTTCTTTCTCGTTCGTTAGGTATTCCTGACAAATTTAAGGTTAAGGTTTAGGATCCAAGTGAACCTCTAAAAGGTGCTGGACTGTCCACATGTTACATTGTTATTCAGTATTTGTCCACATGTTACATTGTTATTCAGTATTTGCTAAAGGTGTGTGGACAACATGTCCTTTATTAGTATGCTGTGGCACCATTCACCAGTTGTTCAAGCACCTAACTAAAGGGGTACATTGGTATGATGTGTGAAGGAGATATAACCAGATTCTTTAGAGATTGGGTCACACCAGAGGCTGTGCCAGGGCTCTCAAACTGGGGAGCACTCTGCAGCTAGCTAACAAAATACACAAAGGTCTGGAAAGTGCTACAAGCAGAGTGCAATAACAAGGTCAGTTTCCAGACAGGCCCTGCAATCTTAAATCAACTGGGGTCCAGGTGCGGCCCCCAAGGCATAGCTGATAATAAACCAATCTGAATAGTCGCATAAAGAGCTCAGCTTTTAAACATACAGATGAAGGCTTGATTAAAAAATTAAAGTAAAGTAAAGTAAAAAATATCTTTAGAAGAAATAAATGGTTAAAATTTTCTCAGTAGGGAATAAATGGTCACCCTCCTAGGACACAAACAAAAAACTAAAGCATGTTGGGAGTGGGAGGGGGTATACCTGGCTGGCCAAGGGCTTTTTTGTTTGCCAGTGTCCAATTTCTCCTAAAGGCAGCAGTATAACCCGGTTGTCTCAGAATAATTTAATCCTGTGCCTTGATTAAGAAGAAAAAAAAAAGTTTTGGCTACACATACTGTATCAAGTCCCTACATTTCTGTAAATACAAGTTTTCTTTAAATAGAAATACTGTTTTTTTCTGTAAAAACTCATTTAATAAGGGACGAATTTCCTTTAAGGCCAATTAAAAATCCCCAGCCTTGGACAGGGCGATTTCGTTGTGTTTTGGCCCTGTATCAAACCCCAGGTGTCCTACATATTCAAAGGCCTTGAATCATATTTCAGTAGTAATCCTATTGTTTATGTGTTCTGTACATTGATTTTCTGTTATTCTCTACACACACACCTTTCTTGTTTCAGCAGGATCACATTCACATGTGTGTTATTTTATTTTTAACTGCTGGGATTCAGTTAATATTCGGAAACTGAAGTCAGACAATTACACAACTTTATATCTGAGAACATGTTGGAAAGACAAACTGGCACTGAGATGGCATTCTTTCCCCAGCTTTACAGGGTAGGGTTCCTTATTCTACACAGTTTGAATTACAAAACAATTATCTCATTGCAGATCTCTCAAATACATCATTTATTAACACAAACATATGCATTTGTAGATGGTTACAAAAAAAACCCCCAAAACCAAACAAGCCAATAAATATGGAATCATGTATAAACTACTCTACTAATAGCTCAGTAAACACAAGCTCCTTACACTTAACTTGATGCCTTTACGCATACCACACATATAAGCAGTTACTATCGGTCACTAGTTATTGCTGGCTTGTTAAAGTATATGTGAATCCATGCACTAAAATCTCATATAAGCTTAAACATGTTAATGTAATTCCAAAAGCTGTGTAAATCTGCAGTTTTCATTAAATGAATATCTGGTGATTTAGATTGATTAGGCACTGTCATGGGGTGACAATGCTCTGTCTGGTTCGGAGTTGTCACTCTGTTACATACGCCCCTGGTGGAGACTACAAGAGGCTGTGCCATCATACACTGTGCAGACATGCCTCCTGTTGTCACTATCACTAATGATGTGGGGCAAATGCATGTAGCAGGAAATATCTGCAAAAGCAGGATGAGATCAGCAGCACTGAGATGGAAAAAAGGATTTTAACCCCTTCGTGACGGGAGACGTACAGTGTACGTCTTGTCACTTTGTGCCTATATGACTGGCCACGTACACTGTACGTGACGAGTTATATCAGGCTTTGTAATGCCGGTATTTGCTGATTCTCAAAGAGAAGGTATTTGCTGATTCTCAAAGATCAAAGAGCTTTTAGTGAGATCTGAATCTGACTAAAGTCAGGATCAGTCTCTAAGGTTATTATTAGCTGTTCCTAAGTTTGGATCAGCCTAATAGCCAAAAATAAAATAAAAAAGTTAATTTATCAAGCTGTCATAGTGATTGCTTGATATAAACTGACAAGAAAAAAAAAAGTTTTTTTATTTTATTTTTATTTTTTTTACAAAGTGTAAAAAAATTAAAATAAAGTGTAAAACAAAATTAGGAAAATATAAATTATATATAAATATATTTTTTATACTATAATTAATATAAAAAAATTCTAAAAAAAAATAATAATAATCAAAACTTGTGAAAAAAGTGTTTTCTTCTAGTTTTTTTCCTCATTTTTTTTATTTTATTCAAACTAAGTGAGGGGTTAGGTACACATATGTGATATAATTATATAGCCCTATCTGTCCTCTAAAAAACAATATATAATATGTGTGGGTACATTTAGTAAGAAAGTATATTACTGCTGTGGAAGAATCACACAGCAAAAATGTAAAAAATGTGTCAGTCATTTATGAACAGAACCTGAAAACTAGCTCAGTCATGAAGGGGTTAAAAAAAATGGCACCTGTTTATGATAAACAATGCTGTAGTTAACTAAATGTTATCCACTTAGGACTCAATCCAACTTTGCCTGAGGAGTTTTTTCCTGAAAATGTAATGTATTTTACAATGTGCTTCAGTGTGTATTGACATGCAATAAAAAGTGCAATGCAACATCTGTTAAAATACATTGATGTGCATTTTCATGTGTTCTTGTTGATTTCAATGGGAAATGCAACAGGCAAAAACACATAAGTGTGAATGGGTTAGATCTGCTTTAATGCTTTCCTGACCCAGCCATCACCAGAAATAAGAAGCTCCACTGCATCAAAAGTAGACATACTCCCAAAGGAGGTAGGAGCTCAGGGGGATGATGTGACATTTTAGAAATAAACCACTGAGTGGAGGATATCAGAGTGCGTTGCATGTATCTTTTTAGTGCGGCATAAGAAGAAACTGATCTTCCTGTTACCTTCCAACTAAATCCCCCTCAAAGATGGCCAACTTTGATGATACCACATATGGCAAACTTCGTCTTAGGTCACATTTTAAAATCCAATAAAATACTCACTGACATTCATGTTTCAACCAAGAAGGAGCCATAGTGAGCGCCACTGCAATCCTACAGCTGAAACCTGGTTGCGATGAGTGACTGCACATACCTATTTCATCTTATAACTTAAATGCCACTGTGTTATATGTGAGAACAGTTCCAAAACAATCACAAGGGTACCAAAATCACTGAAGAAATGTCACAATTAATATCAGCCCCGACATTTGCCATTTAAAACCAACAAACAAGCACTCCAGGGAATGCTGTGACCCACATTTACGGTTTTTATTAGCTGAATTTGTTCAGTAGAAGTTGCATTTCTTTCTCTCTAAATAAGCCAACTGATTAAAAAAAAAAAACAGATTTATGTCTTTTCCAATTCATTTTAATGACAAAACAGCCTGTCTTTAATGCGGTTTACAAACACACAAATGTGCATTCTGGCCATAACCCTATTTCTCTGAAAGCCATGAGAACCATGCAATGTTCTAACTTTCAATCTATTCTTAATGTTTCTGTGGCATGCAATTATTTACTAGTACAATATCATGAGTTCAGATCACTGGCGGAAAATGAACTGGCAGTGGGAATTGAATAATAACTCTATAATGGTCTATAAAGTGGGGACAAAAGAAAAATGAAGTAGTTGAGTTAATATGTCAATTTTACTGACACCTATGTGGTCGAATTTGAAAAGTCTAAAAAGGCTTCCCAGACTTGCATCCATCCCAACATCCTAACAGACTTCCAGGAACCCAGCATGTAGGGCATACAGCAAGTGGGACACCTTGCTCCGGATCCCGTAAGTCTCTTAGAATGGAACATCTAAGCACCTTCCCTCTTTTTTTATTTAAAAGCATGGAAGAAATAATATGGTGGTTAGCAACCTTGGCCATCAAGAAAGGGCTGCACATTATATTCTGGAAATCTATTTTCTCATGTTTTAATGATTTTACAAAGTTTTCTTATTATTATATATTATTATTATTTTTTTTACAAAAGACAGCTTCCATGTTTGAAACAGCAACAGACATGCTGCAGAAGATGGTCTGCAGTTGGAAGGTTAGATGTTGTGGACATGCTGGGGGAGGCACTTAGTGACTGTAGCCAGACAGTGGAAATGCTGTAATATTATACTTACTGTATATTATGGCTTCTAATATACAGTAAGTGAGATGTATATAGCAGGAACTGTAACAAATAAACACATATGACACTGAGCCCTACCAGCACCTGGAGAGATTTTGGAGTATCAGGGCATGATTCACTGTCTTTTATTGTGTCCTGCAGACTCTCTGGCATAGCAGAGAGTAAACTGTCAGGAAGATAACAGAGATCAGCTTTGTTGGATTTTTCCGTATAAAACAATTCTCTGATGCTCAGGTTTATTCAGCACTCAACAGAACACAAACATTATGTTCCTTTCCCACAAGCAGTGTAATTCATCCCAGGCCCCATTATCCTAGCAGTGCCACCATGAACTGAGCTTGAACTCCCAGTGGGTGACTCTTCGGTATTAGTCTCTCTCAGTTTTTGGGAAGTATGAAAAAAAGGAAAAAAACAAGGACAACAAACATGAGGAAAACTCACAGATTTCAAAATGCTGACTGCTTCTTTACTCAGCCAGACTGGGTACAGCACGTCATCATGGAGGATGGATTCAAAGAGGTCATCTTCATTGTCAGCTTCGAAAGGAGGTTGACCAGCCATCATCTCATACATCAGGACACCTAGCGCCCACCAATCAACAGAGGGCCCATATTCTAATTCCTGTAATATCTGGAATGACAAAATAAAGACTGAGTACATTGTAACTTAATGTATTTCTGTTATTTGAGAGGGGTTAACGGAATTTTAGATCTCCATGAGATTTTTTTTTCATTGAAGGTCACCCTTGGATTCCTGATAGCCCCGTTTAAACAAGTCATAGGATGACTGTCACCCGATTTTGCTGGACAAATTGCAAAAGAACTGCACATTTACATACATGCAACATATTCAATACTCTAATCTCATCAAAAGGGCTTGAGAGAGATAAAATATAGTCAGGTGGTTTAATGCTCCAGCACTTACCAAAATCTAAAATATTTTTCAGCAGACTGTCCTTTTAAATTGGACCTAAAACCTCAAAGTGTTATTTGTGCTTACGCAGTAACCTAAAAATGTGCCTTTTGTATTGACTTTCTCATGAAAATTGGCAGTGCACTTCCTTTGCATTGAGCTTCATAGCTGTATATCTGCAGTGTTGCATTCTCTTAGGAACTGGGAAGAAAAGAGAAATCTTCCAAGTGGGCAAACAGCCAGTGACAAATACTAATACCTCCCATTATACTATAAAATGATGTGTGTTTGCTATTGGTGTAGGCTGGAGTTCTCATTTGAAATACTGTTCCACTCTGTCCCTGCCTGACATTATATAACCAATTTATTGAGCTAGTTAATGAAGAGAGAAGTGTCTTAAAATGGTCATTGTAGGCCACTTTCTACAAAATAAAATAGATATGAATGTAGACATACTTGTCCTTGGTATCATTTAATTGGGCTCCCCAACTGATCTTTCTTAAAGAGACCCTGTTGACAGATAATTCACATAAGATTATATGTTATGCATCTTATTAGGGCTGGATTTACTCTCTCTGCTGCCCCAAGCGCAGGTACTTCAATGTGCCCCCCCCCCAATAGAGAATGGCAACCAGATGGCAGGGGCGGCAGGGTTAATTTTTTTTTACTTTATCACTTTTTAATTTGTATTTTTTTACTTTTAATTTTTATTTATCTTATTATCTTTTCCTTTTTTTAATTTTAATTTTTTTATTTATTTACTTTTTAAATTATTATTTATAAAGCCCCTGTGTGATAGCATTCGGAGGTCACCGGTTCTCTTTATTGAACCTGTCACCTTCAATACAGTAGTTTGAGCACAGCACTGTGCTAGTTCTCCTGTGACAGCATGAGATGGGAAGGCTGCGAGTGCATCTCTACCATCTCAGTGTTCACATCGAGCAGACCAGAGAACGGACATTCTCCGCTCTACTCCCTGCACTCCATCCTAAAATACTTTGGTCCCGGGTCCCCCAGAAGTGTGGGGGACTCCAAAAACCATGGCGGGGAGGCAGTTAGAATAGAGGTGGGGGTGGACTATGGAGGGGACCTGCAGGCTTGTTACAAGTGGTCTCGATACAAAACGAGTTGCAGCTTCCCTGCTCTACATTTAGCCCTGTTTGCCGGAAGCAAGGATAAATGTAGAAAAAAAAACTACCTGCCCGGCCCTGGAACTACATGTTCCGGGCATCGACCGATAAGAATTCCATACCACTGGGGCCAGTATTGGCCTCGCTGACCTTGTGGGGAATCTGGTCCTACATATTTATCACCTGTAAAAGCCTCCCTTGCTTAGACATCTAAAAGCTCCTAGATTAATGCTGCGCGCCACCATCTTGGTTGTGATGTCTGTAGTTCCAGAGCTGTCACTGAAGTGACACTCTATAATATTAATTTTGGCTCCTCCCCACCTGCTACATAAAAGATTATATAGGAGGGTGAAGGGAGGGACGGATGAGGTAAAGTGTACTTCCACTTTCGCACCAAAATTAGGATAACACCTGCTTTATATTTGTTACCTGTTCCCATTCACATAGCATTAAAAACTAAACACTTACCTTTCACTTGTTCTTTTCTAAAAACACTTCTGAAAACTGAAGTTTTCCTCTGCTACGTAATGTTAAGGAGGTGGTGTGGAATTAACTCTGTCTGTACTGTGCTGGCAGATTTCATTATAAATTGTAATCTAGATTTGATAACTGTCTGTCCTAACAAATTGTTCATAGTAGCTTGCAGTCTACCGAAAGACCCCTTCAAAGAAACAGCTGGAAAGGTAAGAAATATTTTTTGAAATAATTATTTTTATGTATGCTGCATTGAATGGGAGCACCTAACAAACATATAGTGGGGTTTGCTCAAATTTGACTGCAAAAGCAGAAATACACTTTAAGTCAGCACAAACAGTAGACACCCCCAGAAGAATAGAGGGCTGTGACATGCAGAGAGGGAGGGGGCTGTGCTAGGGAAATGATTAGCTGATTGTTCAAGAAAGTCACATTGCAATTTTTATGGAAATATTTATGGAAAAGAAAAAACACTACAAGTAAGCAGTGAAAATACTTTTCTATGATTTTTTTCTATGCTTTTTTTCTGCAATTGTTAAGTTGGTGACAGGGTCTTCTTAAGGTAAAAGTAAGAGATCAAACAAACTGTTATAAATCACACAAGATAGGCAAACATTCAGTTAAAAAGGCATTTTCCTAACAGACTTCATGAAGAGTCAAACATATAATATGTGCTTGCCTCGAACACAAAGAGGTCATTAATATATAAAGGAATGTTGATGAACTGCCACTGAATACAGTAAAAGAGCTTAATCTGAAATACTGTTTCTGACAACAAACTTAAAAATGGGCAAATGTATTGCATTAACGTATTATGGGGTCCATCTGTTTAAATGGTAACAATTATAAATGTAATTTTAGTACTGATAGCATAGAGGCTGACTTACATACAGCATGTTTAGGCTTCTCTAGTGAATTACAGAATGGAAAAATAAGGGTTCATCTCAGAATAAATCGATAACAGTTACAAACTTTCTCTATTGTCCAATGGTACCCACAACATGGCTAATTACTGTGGAATATTGTAGAACTGCTGTATTGTTATACTAATCTATAGATATTGTGCGTGAAGCACCAATAATCCTGCCACTGGTTGATGTCTGAAACAGGTGGAGATTGAAAATTGCTAAAAACTAAACTTTCTATTAAACAGTTAAAAAACATAAAATATAAAAAAATTAAAAGCCCAGCTCCAGGCTCTGCAGTCTTCCCAGATGTGACTCTCTGCATTAATGTGCTACGAATGAAGGGCGCTGTGGTGATGCTTCCTCTGGGGCGGGGCCAATATGCCCTGTATTTATAGTATGTCCTCAGTCTTTTGGGTTGAAGGAGGCTAGGTGTCATTTAACCCAGAAGACTGAGGACATCTTGTGGCAAAAAGAGGCAATGTGCTGCATTGCTCCAGAATGACGGTGGGCAGTTGTGTACTAGCTCTTTAAAATGTATAAAACAACAAAGAACTGCATATCTCAGATGATGCCTGAGGTCAGCACAGTCTTTATTCCTTCAGAAATTAATTTTTTGGTTACTATTTTTGCACTTTTTCTGTGAAAAGAAAAGTCAAACAAATAACACCAAAAAAGCAAAGAAAAAACAAGTACAAACACCCCTGAGCCATGTAAGGCCACTGCAACCTTTAAAACTGCCTTTATTATGCTTTTTAGATGGACTTTAATGCATTTCTTTGAAATTTAATCAAAGCAATGCCTGTTCATTTTGTTAATGCCTTGTATTCTTAACTCAGGAGAACTGAATAAATTACAGTTGTCCTTACTTTATGTGGACCTTTAAAATGTATAAACAACAGAGAACTGCACATCTCAGATCACGTTTGAGGCCAGCACAGCCTTTATTTCTTTAGGAATTAATTTTCCATAGAATGCACCAGACTCAATATGGGGAATGACGATAGTGAATAATGACAGGCAGACAACGTGTAGATGGGCCCCGCATTTTTTTCTGCACTGTTTCCCATCCTGATACCGAAGCTGGGTTCTATGATTCACATGCAGCTGGGGGCGGGGAAGTTAGTAGCAACAACGGTTGCAATATTTTTGGTGATTAATCTGCTGCCCCAGAAGTGAAGAGCAGATGGCCAAAAACTGAATGGAGGGTTCTTCTCCATCCTGGCTATCCACAGCTGTATCCTCAATATGGTTTTCTGTCCTTATAGTCCTTCCTGAAGCACGACAGAGGAAAGGCTGCAACACCACCCCTTGTCTGCTACATGTTTTTTCAATAATGTGTTCTAACTCTTGTAAGAGCATATTTTGACAGGATCAGCACAGAAAGTTTACAGATCAACAGGACCACCGAGGGGTGGCAAATGACCTACCTCAGGAGCTATGTAGTCTGGGGTACCACAGAACGTTGTTGTAGTGACGCCATTCAGAATGCCCTCCTTACACATACCAAAATCAGCCAATTTACAATGGCCTTCAGCATCCAGGAGTATATTGTCCAGTTTTAGATCCCTGTGAAAAGAACAGAACAGGATACTTACTTACATTTAACAAACCAATCACACTGATTTATATAAGCTAAACGAAGTACACTGTATAGGTAATTGAAAAAAAAAATTACTTCCTTCATCCTTCTGCTAGAATATATACATCTAAAACGCCGACGGGTTTGCTATAGGGCATAAGTGGGCCCCATTACCTTTTTAAAAAAAGATTCTATCTTTATGTAGCAAGAAAGCTTTTATAAAAAGGTATCTAAAATGTTATATTGGAGGAAATATCACAGCAGAGTAAAGACTTAAAATGTTACAAGCTTATTTACATTCAAGACCATGGCTAGAAGGTTTAGTATTAAGCATTATATTGCATAGACTTTTAAGATATTTAAGATCAGACTGATATCATAAACTGACTCCACTGTGTAAAACGAGGGCAATTTGGTCTTCCTAAATGACTGGAGGCTGAGATGTAAGTTTCTTCACATCCTGTTTTATCTGCCAGAGGATTTGTAAAGTAATGTTCCTGTTGCCCAATTACATCTACTGTGCCACATAGCACAGCAGGGTTAGGAATCCAGGAGACCATGAGCTACACTCAATGGCATTCTACTCTTTGAACCATTTTAGGTGCCTCCACTACTTTAATCCAAAATTGGTTGTCTCCCCTACTGCATTCATCTGTTGGAGCTGGGAGTTAAGCCCCATGTAAGCTCTATGTCAGATATTGTCAGAGCTTACACATAGCTGATGTTGTCACCCCTCTCTCAAGTGACATTGGGGGACCATAAGCTAGAGCATCAAGGCATCACGGAAGGAGGTGATATGTTTTTGTGAGGGCTCTGACGGGACAATGGTAGAGGGACACGAAGGCGAGTGTAAGTGGACAGCAATGGGCTTGCAAAATATTCTATTACTTTTCCCTGAATGGAATGACATTTTGGCTAATCTAAATGCTGTCTAAATACAAGAGTCATGTATGTGTATTTTTACTTTAAAGTATATAGTATATTTAGGCTATTTCAAATGCTGATTAAATCACTTACAATGGATGCTGCTCCTTGATGGTTAAAAGTTTTACTTTCTTGCAGAATCAGCTGGTCCCCTGAGCTATGGCCCTGATATCCTGTTTTAGGGTGGCTCCTTTACCTTGCAGGATTCTATGGAGCCACCCTTGTGTGTGCTAGTCAGCTGTGTGCGTCTCCACAAACACACCCCTGCTCCTTACTCTCCTCCTGCCTTGCTCTTCCCTTCTCCAAACTAGTAGACTGACAGCTGATGGAGACTGTGCTGTCCCTTGTGATCTAGTTCTTAGTGTCCTGGTTGCATTACAATCCTGGAGACTTGTATGGCCCATCTCCTAATATCAAAGATGTTAGGGATGCACCCCCACAGAAACGCCTCCATATACATTTGTACTTAATGTGCAGGCATAGCCAGTGGTTTGAGGACTTGCATCTCTGGATTTAAACAAACAGGGGAGGCCATTACCATTGGATCAATGTAAGTATCTGGGGAGGGACCACTCACTGCTCTCTCTTCTTGTGTAGGGTGACCGAACTTGTATGGGCCCCCCATGCCCTGTATTTTTCTGCAGGCAGCCTGTAGTGGGTGTGGCCTGGTGGCCCCTCCCACAGCTCTACACCCTACACAAGTGATGTACAGCGCAGTGATGATGTCACCACTAATTTTACAAGGATCATCTTTAACTTTTAGCTGGAACGTGGCAACTCAAGAAAAATAACTGCTGTTTGAAAGGAATTCATAAATGGGGGTTTGACATATTTGTCTGGAGCTCTTATTTACTTAGAATTGAGAATGAAGAATACACCAGGAATATGTTGCAGGTAAAACTTCAAGAAGAGCAATTTCGTCTTCATCTATCTGCCCGATATTAAAGCGTGCTCCTGTGTAGCTCCCTTGGCAGTTCAGAAGCTGGCAAGTGCTTTGGATCTTTGTGTTCCTAGTAAATGCTGAAATGATGAGACAGAACACATCGGCCCTCTTGTCTGATCCAGCTCAAAGCCGGCTCTTCAGCAGAGCACACTACTGCAGTATATTGAGCACCCCATTGAAAGAGACACCTGCTGGTCTCATTCACTTCCTACTAAGACATTTGCTGATGTGCTTAATTCCTCATAGACATGTGCTAATCAGCAGATTAGTTATTAATTCTGCCCATAAAACAATTTTTCTTTCTTAGTGGAAATATTTAGGTTAAAGCTAAACTCCAGGCAAACAGCTAAATGCACAGAAGAAATACATATATGAGCTGTTCTGCATGACAGAAAATTTGCATTTCTATCCATCCAGGTCTGCGAGTTATACGGCTCTACCACATAGCAGAGCTCAGTTTGACAAGGGCAGGAGACCTAGGTTTTCTCTGTAGCAGTTCAGTAACATATACAGGTCTTGCCCCTTCCCCACCTTGTGTTTGGACAGTAAGAGAAAATGCAGTAGACTGATACATTCATAATTTCATCCAAGTCAAATGTAGGTACTGAATGTAGAGCTGAATTAGGTTAGGTCTTTTATATCTGCCTGGAGATCAGCTTTAAAATAGTAGTCTGGTCAAAACTGTATTTTTCTTTAGTTTTGGATACAGCAAGAGAACAGTAGAAATCTATGTCAAGTTTAAGTGCTCTTTTTGTCTTCATTGTGGAGACTTATCATCACTTCCTGTCCTTCTAACCACAAGGGAAGTGGGAGGAACTCTTCACAAAGTGAAGAGTTGTCTAAACTTTGACAGTTGTCCCCCTAGACAGGCATCTCCACTTAGGTTGAAGGCAGAAAATGAGTGAACAGAAGCTTTTAGCCAAGATCAGCTCCATTAGGCTGCTAGGCATCATGGGAAATTTATTCTTACTCAGATGAATAAATATGGAGTGGACCACCTGACATGCATTCACATAGCTATTACTTGTGGTCTATAGTCTCCCTTAAATGTCTGAACATGGTACGTGTAGTACGTGGCAGAACATTATGTGAAGCCATGCAGCCTACTGTTCCCAGTTTATGCAGGTCATTTAAACACCTCATCATGTTTTATACCACATGATAACACATCTTGCACAATGACAGCTTTGAAAACAAAGCAATACAACAAAACATATCAACAGGGCCAAAAAAAAAAAAACACCCCGCACCAAAACGTTGGCCTATTAAGCTCAAGCAGTGAACTGTGAATGTGAAAGGACCATCTGTGTGCGTTCTTAATCCCCTTAAGCAAAATAATTTCTAACCCTTATTAGATAAAAAATACAAGATGAAAGAAGGAACCAATGGCACTAAGAGGCTTCTAGTCAGATCAAGCCTTGATGGTTCAGTGCTTAAAATATGTCAACAAGCGGTTGGTGATGTCATTTTTTCCCCAGGCGTTTCGCGTACACCTGAAGTTCATCTCAGTTAAATATCATGCTTTGAAATTTCAGCTAAAGCTTTACTTTAGTCTCAAGTTTTTGGAACACATAGGTCACAGTTACTGTGTCATCTAAGTGTTAAGTTGAAGTGGGCTATGCTGCAACTGTGACATCACAGGCTAAATATACCTCCACATTCTAAAAGTCAAATTAAAATACATTTGATGTGAACCTGTAGCCAGGCTATACACCTACATATTCGTAATAAGCATTAAAGTGCATGTAGACCCCCGACAATTAACTTCTCTTATTTGCTCCCTTTTGTTCTGCTAAATATACCATTAAAAGTTTTTTGTTATATCTGTTAGAGAAGTGGAAAAATACCTGTTTATTTTGCCAAAAATCTTGAGAGCTGATAACGTCCTGTGTTCTCTGCCTATGCACAAGGAGGGGTTATAAGATGAGGAGCGGGGAGGAGATGGAGAGGTTTGTATTCTTTGTAATGCATCAGAAATGAAGTAGGCAAGGCTGACAACACATTTAGAATGCAGAGCACAAAATTAACTGTGTTGTCGTGTGAAATAGGTAGTTATGAGAATGTTAGATTTCTGGCATATCAACCATTATTTTTCTGCACCTGCAGTGTGTTTAAAGGGATACGTGGGGAAATGTGCATTTATGTATGAAATATGTTTTTTTTAAATCTTGGCTTGACAAACACTTTAAATCAGACTTAAACCAAGCCACCATTGACCTCTGTCGCTGCAGGAACAGCGGAGAAACTCATCTTCATATTTTACAAGGAAAACAGCAAAGTCATTTAAATTGGGTCTTATCACTTTACTCTATCCCCTCTTCCAGGTCACCTGCTCTGTGTTTACCTTAGCTTTCAAAAAGGTGCCTATTGTAAGCACCTCTGCTGCTTTTATAGTTTGTTCTAACCCTTGTCACCTTTGGTAGACAGCTTGATCTGCATGTAAATGTGCAGAAAAATATAGAACCCAACAAAAAACCTATTTGTGACCCAACTACATATATATTTACATTAAACTACTCCTATCTATAGTGTTGAATGTAGAACCATCAGAGCTGTAATAATTTAAAATGGCTTGTGGACCAATGAAAGGGGAGCAAGGTTGGGCTGAGAGGGGGCAGCACCAAAACTCAGAATTTAAATGTTTTAATATCTTGTTTCCTTTTTTTTGCCTCCGCCATGCCCCTGGCACTACTAAGGCCTGGTTCACACCTGGGCGTTTTGTAGCGCGTTCGAACGCTCTGCAAAACACTCAAACACCACTCGCGCGTTTTTTAACTGTGAATCGCGGTAAAACCACGCGTAACAAAACGCGCAACAAACGCGCATATTCGATACGCCTGGGTGTGAACCCAGCCTAAGAGCTGTTGAAAAAAGTGATCAGAAAAAATAAAAGGGAAGCACAAGAGCTGGAAAAAAAAAGAGTCACAAGTCTTTTTAGATCAAATGATACACAGAATTAGACATGCGGTTGCACATCGTGGATACCATTTTTACAGTAATAATGATATGACAACATGCTTGTCAATAAAAGTGAAAATTGGTGAGCAAAGAGGACACATTATTGTTATGTCAGAGTAGCAAGAACTCTGGATTGATGGCTTTCTCTTTATGTATATGGCA